TCTCCTCTTTGATAGACTAGGTTCCATTTGTGTTGGACATTTTGAGTGTATAAAATTATGATTTTATGACATGAGTTACGTAAATTAGCTAAATATGCATGACTTATTATTATTATTATTATTGGTTTGAATAATGTAGTGTTTATTCATATATGAAACGTTATATTGTTATTATTTTTCATTATGTAAATGTTATTTTCCAAGGATTCATCAGGACTCAATGGAATATTTCATTATGTTTGGTGCTATCAAGTGTAAACAAAAATTAATTTAGAAACTAATACAAAATAAACTGCTTTTCCAAAAATAAGACCAAGTGCATTTTCCCATGTTTCTCGCCTTCCAAAATTGCACACCTAAATAGATATTATGTACATGTGAAATAATACTTGAAAAATGTAGCGGATTCAAATAAACTTAAAATTGATTGCTTGACAAATTCGAGCAAAAGAGATAATTCAGTCATAAAAAGAAAAACGAACAAATTGAAATAATTTTTCCTTTGTTTTCCTAAAGTAGGTAACAAAACACTTCTTTTATAAGTATGGAAGAAAACGTGTATAACGTTTATTCTGCTATATATCTTGATACATGATGTAATATTATGATATTTTTTGCGACGGTGAAAGGAATTATATATTACATTTGAAATGTAATTTTGAACAGTAAATGTAAATGAAATGTGGCATGAAGTGAGTCAGTTATTTATTGAACGTGAGTGCATGAATGCAGTGGTACTAACAGTTATTTAGTGGTTATACTACAAGTACTAGTTGGCTTCGCATGCCTTTTAGCGAGTGTTGGTTGTAAGTCACGTGCGACCTTCATCCGGTACTTGCATCCACACAATAGGGAATACTGGTCCCCACATAATCATAAACATCTTTCACTTCTGGCCCTACTATCGTGCTCCGCACCGCAGCCTGTTAATCACCCCTCTCGAAGGCACGTGCCACGTCACCGGATGTTAAATTCCGAAGGAGAAATATCCCTGATAGATAGTAAAAGCACGTGGAAAGGAACGTACTGCACCGCTTCAAATATTATATTATTGTAGTTATTATTATTATTTCATAAAATTATTAAAGCCGTATAAAAAATGTAAGTACAGAAAAAGAAGGAAAATGACCGGAATAAATGTGGCATGTTGGTGGTGCCGACAGTTAAGGCACCAACAGGTTAACCGGGAAAAAGAGGTTGATTACCGGTTAAGGAAGGGAAACGGAGCTGAATCCCATGCATTCGCCGTCGGTGCGTACTATTTTGACTTCCTTTTAACTCCTTTCTCCCAAACCGATTTTCGTTATCTCAACACTTTTATAAGCATTTATTTATATATATGAGAACGGAAATCACCGTAAATTAATTTTATGTTTTCGAATAAACAATGACTGTATTTACACAAATTGAGTAAAAAATGGTTTCTCGCTTCATTTTAAAGCCCCAACAACTAATATTAAAAAATCGAACACCATGTCTGTAATATCCAAAGCAGAAGAAGACCGTATTGCAACGGTCAGGATTTGTCAATATATTGTATAATCAGTAATTTTTGTTTTTTTTTTCTGATAAGAGAATACAGGGTTCCTCTTTATTAACATATTTATTATTAAAGTTTAGAGACATAATATTTGTTTATTCCGAAGACACATGAGGTGTGCCGGAGAGGAAAGGAAAAAAATAAAGGAATCACGTGACGGTGTCACGTGGGAGTGGATATATTAATATGTGAAGAAGATTATATAAGTAAAGATTTCTCAATCAGCGAATTAAACGGCGAGAATAGGGAAAGGAAAGCGATGGTTACATGTGAGGTGGGGGCTAAGAAGGTCTTTTCCGCAAGGCTTTTAGTTTTAAATAAAAGTTTGAATTATTAAATTAAGTGTCTCCTTCAAAAGACAAGGAAGATTTATGAGGCATAGGAAGATACAACATCTTTGAATGCGGACATGTGCCACGTGGGTGCCACAATTACATCACACAACGTGGCGACAACGTTGTTATTTTCTGGTTTCTATGTGCGGTCAAATTACGTGGTTGCCCCTGCGTACGATGAATGTGTCGGTGCATGAAAGAAGGGCATTTTGGGGGAAGGAAAATGAAGGGTTTTTTGGGGTGGTTCCCATTTAAGGTAACGTGGAAAAAGAAATAGAAGAGTGTGTGGAGAGTGGCAACCCACTCCTTATGAAGGTTTGCATTGGGGACACAGCAGAACTCGAAACCTCTAAAAACACTCTATTTATCAATCACGATCACAATCATATTATAAAACACTTATATGCAAAAACAATGAGAGTTGGATAATCGTTTTCACAACTTTGGTTGGACCCATTTATGATTAAATACTGACTCTTTTTTTTTTATAATAAGAAAAAAGGTGTATTGATTTTAGTATGAGTTGTGGGTTGTGTTGAATTTTGTTTGCGTTTTTGTGAGAAGGTTGGATAGTAAGTTTTGTGGGCCTAGCAAGTTCTAATAAGAGAGGCAAGTTTGTCCCAAAGCCCAATCTTTGTTTGGAGTTATGTAGAAAATTAATTACTAAGGAAGTTGGCCCACAGCCATAAACCACAAAAATGCCAAAAAGACACCTAAGAAACAAAGCAATAAAAATGATGCATAGATCAACATGGATGGAATCGTTCACGCCAATGACCGACACTTTTTTTTTTTTTTTTTTAAATTTGTTTAGAGCCGCGCGTTTGATGTTTGAACCGAGAATGTTTTGTTATCCATAGCCTTGTAAGATTTTTTGATGCATTTTATAAAACTTTAGCCACATAATTCCTTGGATTGATTTTTGTTATTCCTCTGAAGAAGATTAAAGTGAATGATATTCGCGTTATGAGAGAAAGGATTAAAGAGAGAAGAAACAAAAAGATGAAGAGATTTGAATGGGCAGTCATAAATGAAAGAGTATTATGAGATATTATTTTGATTTTGAAGGAATAGAGAGTTTGATAATAATTGCACAGAAAAAGTAGAGTGGTGGTGAGGTCAGAGGACCATCTCTTTTGTCCTCACCTATCAGAACATAACTCATCATCTCCATTTTATCTTCTTATATTTTAACTCTAAAACTTTCTTCAATGCTTTCATTTTAACACTAACTTTCCCATCTACAAATCATACGAGTTTTTTTTTTTATTCATGGTAAAAAACAGTTTCAATAATTCTTTAATTCTAATTCCCATATAAATAATTAATGTATACAATTTATTACAGTTTTCAATATTTTTCGGTCAATTGAAGTTTTTTTTAAATCACTAATTTATAACAACTAGTTTTCAACCTATTATCCAAGCCTGGCCCATGTTTGGAATATCTTAAAATTCTACTAAAAACAAATAGGTGCGTTTAACAGTTATGAATCCATTGACTTAACGTAAAATGTGGGCTGAGCCCAGGACAAATAAATGTTTTTAATTGTAGAGAAACCTCATATACTTGTTTAATGATTCGTTATTATTAAATATTATTAAACCAATGAGAAAAATATAAACATTTTAAATATTTTTTTTACCTTATTTTTTCTTATAGAATGCATTTCGATAAGTTCTACAACAATGTTATCATCCAATCATAAGAAAAAGATCAAATTCATTTTTACTGGAGAAAAAGTGCAAACAATATGGCATATAACCATAATGTACCAACCAAGCCACTACAGAGAAAATGTGTGTTAATATTTTTATTGTATTATTAACATATAATATCTACTATCAACATTAGTTGATACAATAGTAGTAAATTTTAATTAAGTTATCAAGTTTAAAATCATGACAACACAGGTTAAAACATGATAATAATATGAATACAACGATTAAAAAAACATAATATATAATATCCACTATTTTCTCTCGTGTAATTTTTCATTAAAATTAAATTATCTTAGGTACTATATACAATTATAATACGGAGAATGCTAACATGTCCTTAGAACAATGGTTAAAAGTATAATTAGTGATTTTTTATTTTATTGCAATCTGGAATAATTAACTCCATCAATTAAAATGATATTTATATAACATATTTTATAAAGACAAAAGTATTCTTTTTGTCTTTTATATCTATAACCTTTTTTTGAAAAAAAAAACTTTAAAATTTCTAAGGTCTGTGTCAAGAAACAAGTAAAAATATATTTTTGACACTTAAAAGTTTAAATATAGTGTTTCACTTAAAAGTTTAAGTAATTAAATTTTGTATATTATTAACTTTATGTCTTTATAATTAATAATTCATATATTAAAATATTGTATGTTGGGAATTTCGTCAACATGAATGTTGAAAAAGGTTTTTAGAAATCGGAAAAAAGAAATTCAATGAAGTTTCAAATTCATATTTTAATTATTATTTTTACAAACTTTCATATGTTTAATAATTTATTACTAGTTGATATACTTAGTCGCTTATTTATTTTTTTATATATTTTTGTTTGTTGGTTTTTCTGTTAATTGAAGTATTTTTACGTTTAATTATATTTTATTTTTTAGTAACATTAAAATATAGTTATTTTATTATTGAATTATTTTTTAACTTATTTTTGTGTATATCAAATAAATTATTAACTAGAATGTACAAATCTTATAAACATTTTTGTCTTTTATATAAACTAAAACTACGTTAATATAAGGTCAAAATTTGTTTAATATCACAATTGATTGTGAATTTTTGCAAAATGTTTATTAATATATATATATATATATATATATATATATATATATTATATTGTTATTTTAAAAATCTTACGTTAAAGTTCTGTTTTAAAAATTTATTACCTGAAAATAATCATTCCATCATCCATATTATACTGCTATCTCTCCTCGTCATAAAATACCCACTCTTCTCCTTTGACAAATGCAAATATGGGGCATTTTTAGCATATCAATGTAACTTTTCAATAAAAGCAGAATATAATTTAAATTGGAATTCTGTTTTCATTTTTTATTTTTATTTTTAACTTGTGATTTGCACATTATGTTAAACCGTGACATGAAGCAGTCAAGGAATTTGTTTTTTTTTTTTTTTTTATTTCGTGTAACCATATATTATATAAGGAAAGAATAATTGCTTTGCAAACTGAAGCCCCAGCGGAAAAAAACACAGGAAAACTCCCAGCACCAGCATCAATTTTGACTGGTTGGACAAAACATGAAGAATGCAGGGCAACAACTTCTACAACATCTGACACTTCTACTCCTTCCTTAACTTTTGCAAGTGCAGGAGTATCAGCTTCTGCTCCTCAAAGACACCAATAAATTCTCAAATTAAAAATTATGAATTCACCAGAAATGCTTTCGATGCGTCCATATGATTTAGTCGACATGTTCCAAGGAGGGCTTCCGGGAGCTCATCCTGTGTGTTGCTCTGCACTCATTTTAAGATGTGTCATCTTAGTAAGGTTAACCAAAGTTGTTACGTGTCAATGGCCCTTGGTCTTGTTACAGCAAGTCCAATACACATTTTACTTTGGAGAGAACTTTACAGTTATATAGGTGCTATTTGTTTTGTTATCTAATCATAACTAAATGGAGTTTTACTTTGTTAATTCAAGTAATATAAACTACTATTTCATGGATTATGGAGATCAAACTTATGCTCTTACAGAACCACATTGATCAATTACTTTTACCTGTATCAAAAATGCCATTTCTACCACCAAATTGTTCAGGTATCCAAGAACTAGGCTAGCTACCCCTCTTGCAACTGTTGAGGATCCAACGTCGATATCAAGCTAATAAGGCAAACATAATTTAAGAGTTAGCATATAGAACACGAGAAACGAACTGAAAGTGATGATCAAACCTCTCAATATTACCAGTGCTGAAAGTAATACAGCAAAATCACTAATGCTTTCCAAGTATTACTTAATTTGGCAATGTTACCTCTAAATAGTTCTTCCCACGGAAATAAAGAACTTCTAATGCTTGCCCCACCAAACATGCTTTCTTTCCAACACTTTGCTTTACTATCCATGATCCCTGTGAGAAACAAATCAAGTGGGGATGAAAACCATTAGATATTCATATTGATGCTGAAATTTTTATTTGTTTGTTGCATGCCATATTTAACCAGAAACGAACCTGGGAGATGTATGGTATCAGCTTAAATCTAGAGTTCCTGTAAGCATCATCTCCATCCACAAAGCTCTGCAATACGGGATAGTCTTCCAAAGGACTTTTCAACATGTAATAAAGTGCAAGGGAATACATAGGAGTTCCAGGCATCTGAGACATCATAAAAATAGTATTCGTTATCAATCTCATATTTTAAGAGCGATGGATGTAACAATCAAGATGAGGCAACACTCACTTGTATGTTGATGACAAAAAAGAATTCTGGACCACCTTTTGCTGCATATTGCTGAATAAATACAAAAGCACAAAATGGCAATGTTTAGCGGTTATTTCTTGACAGTAATTTTAGGACCGTTTTTTATCACAAATACACAAATAGAAGACTGAGAAAATGGGAATATACCTGAACTATGGAACCAGAACGACTACTTAAGTTATCTTCTCTTGCGTCCGAACGAAGCCAATCTGCACCAACCATTTGCGTCAAGGTGCCGTGTGCCTTGATCTGGAAAACAGAAATTTATTTACCCTTTAAAGTAAACAAATGAAAAAAGTAGCATAAATTTGTTTAGTATAGTTTGAAATATTAGCATCTAGCTTCGCTGAAGCCTTCCACAAATAAAAGTTATGATGACAGTTTCATCTCGTATAAAAATGAATTTGAGGCATAAAACTTTCTGTCTCCTGGGTTTAACCTCTGGCAATGCAGAAAAGAGAGGGTAATGATATTTTTTGTTTTTTTATTAAGAAATCATATTTTCAATGTGATATATGAGCAAATGTGTATTACCATTCGGCTAGTATGTTTTCACTAGTAATTGTAACAATGTTAGATAATTTATTAATTTTTGCTTCATGATTAAGTGAGTAAAATAGTCAAAACAAGTTTTATATTTTTAGAGATTCCTTTTACATTTTGAATATAACTCCAAAATGTAAAAATGAGATAACATCAAATTAAGGTGAACACATAAAACACACCGAAAGGTTAAACTTTTAAAATACCTTTTGATGGTCTTGTAAATAATTTTCTCCTCGAACCAGAAACAAAGATGGATCAGAAGCAGCCCAGGTACAGGGTAAAGAACAACTAGAATCCTTTTGAAGAGTGGCACCATAAGGGCATGATGAACTTTCCTCCCTGTTAGCTTCGTGCAAATCCATATACCCCTTTTTCTGAACTGCAACGCATGTAAAATATATTAAAAAGAAATATGTTATGCACATCCTATCCCAAATATATTAGTAAGAACCTAAATTATACCTGCAATGTCGTGTAACTTTTTTACCAAGCCAACAGCTGTTGATATTCTGGGGATAGACATGCCCTGTGCACCCATTGATTCAATATCACCAGTAGTTGATATTATTAGGATATATCACTTATCATAAAATAAACAAATGTCGCAATGACAAAATCTTAATGTGTACTTAGATTCCTTATATTAGAAATAACATAATTGTAAACTTGTCTAAAATTAGAAACGCGGAAAAGTACAAATCATAACAAGATTGTTTAGAGAAAATAAACATATGACGCAATCACACAAAATCTTAATGTGTACTTAGATTCCTTATATAAGAAAAAACATATTGTAAACTTGTCTAAAATTAGCAACGCGGAAAAGTACAAAAAGAAATAAAATAGAAATTCAGAAACCAATTAGAGGATGAATGTTGGTAAGCAACAGTACCATCTGATCAGAAGCCAAGTCAGGGTGCCATTGATTGTCAAAGTGATCATACTCTGTTGGTTCAGGAACATCAAAGAACTCATCAGAATCATTCAATCCCATTAAATTTGTACGACCGGAAGGTTCTACATCATCTTCTAGGACAATAAGAGGTTCCTCGTACTTGCTTTTCTCCTCTGAAACTTCAGACTTAATATCCTCCTTTTCACCGAGAGTTAATCCAATTTCTTTTGTCATAGGTTCAGGGGAGGAATTTCCACCTTTGGTTCTAAATAACTCCCGAAGAGCTGCGATAAGAAGATTATAGTAAAAGCTTGTGAAATTTCAGTTATAACTAATGTGACAAGACAACATAGATGACAGAATTTTGGAGTCTCCCACATACCTGCAACTCGTTCAAGCATACGAATAGTAATGGTCCTTGAAGATGAGGGGCGCAAATACAATTTCCAAAACTTCCAATCAATAGCAAGCATGTGTCTCACCACTGATTGCGTTCCCTTGTTTACAGGAGTCACTACAAATCCTCCACCTGCCGAGTGTTCAAAACCATTCTATGGTTATTCTTGGCATTTTACCACATTTTAGGAAACTAATAAATATTGGTTCGAGAAAACTAGGAAGACATTTATTTTAGAGAAGTGTTGATTGGGATTTGGGTGGGGTTTTGATCACCCTCGAATAATTTATAAACGGATTTTTATAGTTTGTTCCCGGGATACACTAATTCATATATTTATTATATGAGAAAAAGAACTTTTAATTAAAAAACACTAATTCAAATTTGTATATTTATTTATGATTTTAATTAATATGTTCTTTAAACAGATTTGAAAAGATAATTTAAGTACACAATTATTTTTAAAAGTAATTGATTGATTCATTTCTTTTTTGTTACGAAAATAAATTAAACTTAACACTGAATTATGTTAAACCTTGTAATAATACTAAATTTATAATTTTTTAAGACATAAAATATTTCCAACTAAAAATATACGATAATAATTGTTAAAATGTGCTGAAAGCCGCACACACTAAAAATAAAAAATAAAAAATAAATGCTCTTTATTTCTTATTTTAGGGTGTTGCATCCCCTGTATCCCTCTGCCATAGGATTGAGTTATTTGGCGGCATCGAAAGGTAAAATAATAATCTCAAATTTAAAGCATACATTACTTTTAAGGCAAGCTCGGACATAGCCTTTCTTTGGTGGACACTTCGAATGGTACACAGAATGGTATAACAACACTGTCACAGAATCAGAGATAAAAAAGTTAACAGACGGATTAAAATGAACCATATCTTCAAAACCTAAATGTTTTATTAACAGTACCATATGATCCATCTTCCTCCCTCCTCCAGTATCTTCGTAACAACAAATCTCTGGGTTTCATTCCCCTGGACATGTGACATAATGACGTGTTAACATGTTCGCTTACTAAATTATCATATACAAGGTTCCACATATATATACATATCCTACCATGGTAACCAATCACTGTACAGCTCCATATGAACAATATCTGTGTGTCCATCAAGGTGATCAACCACCCTGCCTCGATAAATACAAAAGTCCCATCTGCAAAAAGCTAGGTGACTTAATATAAAAGCTATACTATAAATCATGTGGATCACATTTCCTATTTAGTGGTTCCACATTTTTCAAGTGAAGAAGACTTACTCGGATCTTGAGGGATCAAGAGTCATAAGAGTGTTGAAGATGGCTTCTGAAGTTCCATCAACCACACCAACTGCCATTATTGCTGGGTGATCACCCCAATGCTGAACAAGGAAAACAACTCCTTATTTTTTAGTAGAGTTGACTTCTTACTAAAATGAAAGTGTTAACCAGTTAGAAGCAACTTACATTTCCAAGGGAATCGCAATCTTTGGATTCTTTGAACATCCTAAGTCCTGCATAAGGAATGAACTATATGAGATACAGATCAGTGCTGTAACCATGTTCTTTAGGAGCTAAAGCTTTACCATTCTGACAACCAAAAATCTTCCATGGTGAAGGGGCAATAACATCAGAGCTAATCGTTTCAGTGCCTATTTCTGTTTGAAGATTCAAGTTGATGTATTTCCAATCTGTGCTTTTCGAGCCTCCGTTTCTGTTTTAACGAAACTTTAGACATTAAAAGGCACACTTTCCATAATATGATTAGTTTATTTTTAGATAAATATAAAAGAATACAGGAAGTTCAATGAATTGTAGGTACGTAAATATTATCACTGCCTTCTAGTAATGTTGCAGCAGAAAGGAAAGGACTGATGAGTGTTGATTATGCTAATTTTAAAGCATTTTAAATATTATTCAAAAGTAGTTAATGTACCTCAAAGTTGAACGTCTTCTTCTAATACAAGCCACTAAATTTTTTGTTGGAGACGGGCACTCCTGAAAAAAAAAAAACAATAAAATAAGCTTCTTATAACGAGAACACCATCCACTCATTAAGATAGCAGAGTAGAACCTTCATTGCAGAATCCTGCAAGGTGCGTATCCATTTTGCAGCTTCTTCTGAACTACTTGCTCCTAACTAAAAAATATGAAATATAGATTAAGAATAATCAGCGAAAAATTGTCATAAATATTATGCTCGGAGTCTTAATTTCAACACACCTTAAGCTTATCACTTTGGTTTGTTGCATTATAAACAGTAAACATGAAGAACACCTGCACAATGGAAACAATTCGTAAATACAATTATTAAATGTTGAAGGAAACAATGCAGCTCTGTGAAATAAATAATAAATAAAAACCATCCAGTGTTGTCCCGTAGAAAGAACCGCAGGTTCCTTACCTTTTTGTTCATACTCTCCCTTCCATTATCATTAACCCGAACGCAAGAGTCAATTATTGCACTTCTAATTGGCTCCTGAAAATTAACATAACGCTTTCATTAATCACAATTGACAACTCAATCATCGCAAGAAAGGAAATTTCAGAAATATTGTTGTTATTAAAATCTAAGAAGACACATACCACACGTCAAACATTAAGAAAGCTATTATGAAAACATAAATTAATCCAAAGCCTTTAAAACGTTATCCGTTCCAGGATACATCAAATAATCAAACATGGTAAGGAAACGTTTCTCGAACATTAATCGAAAATGTATTACTATGTGACAGACACCAATGAACAGAGTGAGGTCCATTCAAGAAATTGATCTCTTCGGACAAAAGTTTTTCATACAGAAGGACCTGAGATCAAACTCCTCACCACACACGTAAAGTGAGAAGAACAACGCTATATATGAATCGTGCGACGTGGATTATGTTGAAAAATGAAAGATTTGATCTATAGGAGTATTTACCTCGGTTGGGGAAGCGGGTTGGGTTTTGAAGCTTCGGAGGACATTGTCTTTGAGAATAAAGTACCTCTTCCGTGAGTAATGCTGACCAAAGCGATTGGCGCGAAGGAGATAAAGCCAGCCTTCCATTTTCTTCTCACTCTGCGGAAGAATACCCATTTGGAAGAAAATCGGCTAGAAAGAAAGAAAACAGTGTTGGAATTTGTGAGGCTGCATGAAATGGAAGGAATGAGAATGAGAATGAGAGCAAAGAAGGAAAAGAACCTGAGAAAGGGGATCGACGATGGCGATCCCCTGACCCCGCGAAAGGGAATCAGAGAATCGAAATCGTGAGGGCAGTGACAACGGTGGTTGTTGTTGCTCTTCTTCTTCTTGTTTTATTTCCTATGTTCCCGCTTCATCCAATAACCGTCTTCTGCGTCTTTCCTTCTACTTCATACCACATCATATACTACAATCCCAATTTACTTTCTTGCCCTTCTCCTTTTTTACTCACCCACCTACCTAAAATACATTTTCCTCTTTTAAAATCACATCATTTATTTCTTGATCAATTTTTATATCATTATATTACATTAAAACTACTTTTTTTTTCATTTGACTAAGTCTCACATTTTATCTCATTTATAAAAACTTTAAATCCCGATATTTTGTTAAATTTATTTTTAGTTTGATTGCCACGTAAAATTTTGTAAACTATCAATTAAATAGGAATATATATATATGTGTCTTTTATAATCAAAATTAAAGTTTCATTGAGTTTGTGTTATTATTTAATGAAATTCTTTCTTTATTACTTATACTATTGACGTACAATCACGTAATACACTTAAGAAGTGAGCATCTTCAAGTATAGTAGTAGTATCTATCATAGATATATTTTATTAGAGATAATCTTATTCGAATAAAGTAAGATTTTTCTTAGGGATAAAAAAGTGTTTTGAGAATATAACTCAGTTATGGGACTGTGAACTGAAATTCATCGTTTTTTTATTAATGAGTATTGTAGTAAATGGTTAAAAGATTTTTACAGCGTAGAGTAGAGGAGAGCAAAAAGGTAAATGAAGTGTTATGGTTGAATAGGAAGAAGATAGGAGGTTGTTTGTGAGGCAAGACAGTGATTTTGTTGTTATTAAGATGAAATTAAGAGATAATCAATCTTCAAACATGACTTGCGGGGAATCGTTGTCTTGCATTAATCCTGTGACGACAAAACAGGCTTTCTTTAAAGCCAGTTCCGTTTAGCTTTACGTATGTGTATGTGTATGTTTTTGTTTTTAAAAATTAACATTGGTTTTATTTCATCCAATAATTTTAATGGTTTAAAAATTGAGACTTAAGACAGTTCATTCAATAATTTTAGTCATTTAAAAGTTAAAGTCTAAAATAATTTAAATATTTCTTTCATTTTTAAAAGTGTATTTTAAAAACAAAATCATTATGAAACATTCTTAAATGTCTTTTAAAAACAAAATTGTAACAAAACCTTCTGAAATATCTTTTAAAAGTAAAATCATAATAAAACACAAACTCCAAAAGAGATCATACTTCAGATGTTGGTGATTAACCTTAATAATGCAACAAATTTAGGATAAAAATTCTTAAAAAGAATTTTCTCATCATATGTTAATATAACATGAGAAACTTTTTTTTCATTACATTGTAATGCATATTTATTAATTGAATTGAAAGATACGTTAGAAATTATTAACATAATTGAAAAACTAAATTAAATATACAAAATATCTTACTATAAACAAAATAATTTTAAGAAAAAAATTCCATTTACCCTCTCTAAAATCTGACCTAAATTTATGTATAGCTTAATTACAACTGCTAAAAGAAATTTATTTTCTTTTGTCCTTTTTTTTCTTCTAATTTGTTTTATTTTTTTCCTTTAAATTGTTTTATCTCCTCTTTTTTTTCTCATGTCAGTATACGTTAAGAATACTATTCAAACAAACAAAGCCTAAGTCAGAGTTTAATGACTCTTATCAAACAAATCAGTGTTACTATAAAATTTTAAAAATATGATAGTACTTTCATTCTTGCTTGTTAGATTGTTTAAATTAAATGTAAAGTTCTTATCTAAGCTGCTTAGGCCCTTAAAAGGCAAAGCTTCTGTATTCAAAATGGGCTAAAGCTTCCTGCACCCCCATCAAAAACTTTCCAAAAATGTTTTCCGTAGAATTTAGAGATTGATTTCTGAAAAAACAAATTCCGAAATTATTTATTATATTTCGGAAAGTTAATTCCGAAAATAACAGTGTGTAGGAAAAAAATGATAGGAAGTAATTGCCGAAATGATGTCTGGCCATTGCTTCCTCTACATCAACAATTATTAACTGCATTCCATACAAATAAAGAAAATTAAACGCTACACCATACTACCACTGTTGTCACTATCACCACATTTATCATTAGCATTATTACAAAGAAAAAGAAAAATAATGTTATCAAAGAAAGAAAATTTTAAAATAAGAGAGAAAACACAAAAAAAAAAAAACTTTTTACAAAACATTTTATGTAAAATATTTTGAAAAACTTATGTCGGAAAATATTATATTCATTCCAAATGAAACCTTATTCTAAAAAGTTCTTTTTAGAACGCCTTTCATGTGTTTTGAAAATTTTAGGTTTAATTGCTTCCTTTGTCCCCAGTTTGGTTGAATTGTGTCAAATTCATCCTCATTTTTAAAAAAGTTTCATTGTCGTCCTCACGTGGTATAAAAGTGTCAATTGAATCCAAACATAGAAAAAATTTGTGTCAAAGTAGTCATTTTTCCTATATATCTGTGTCTTCCTTTCATATGTCACTTCTCTGGAGCTATGAAAAGCCTTAAATTGGATAAGGTAAAATGAATATCTGTACTTGATTGTATGAAAGGAAGACACAGAGATATAGGAAAAATGACTACTTTGACACAAATTTTTTCTATGTTTGGATTCAATTGACACTTTTACACCACGTGAGGACGACAATGAAACTTTTACACCACGTGAGGACGACAATGAAACTTTTTTAAAAATGAGGATGAATTTGACACAATTCAACCAAACTGGGGACAAAGGAAGCAATTAAACCAAAATTTTAAAAACCTTGTTCCGAAAATTTTGAAAAACATGTGATAAGGTAAAATGTTATTTTCAAAATTTGGGAGGTACGCAAAGAAAGTGTGGGGTGCAGAAAGTAACAAGCAGCATTACTATACAATTTAACATAGCTTAACTAATAAGACTATTTACGACTCTAAGATGACTCAACTAAAATGTATGAATGTAGTAATGTGTTGATTCGAACTAAGATCAGTCCGACCAAAAACTCGGTTTAAATGGTATTTCTCACATTAATTTCACATTCCACTATGAATATTGTTTATTTATAATGAGATTTTGTAGCTATATTATAAATTTACAAAGCAAAACTAACTGGGAAAATCTACTTTTAACTTAAAAGTTACCCTATCCAAAAAGGCATTGCGGATTGTCTTTTAACGAAATGATTATAATATAGATTATTGAATACGACTCTTTCCTTTCAATTTCATTCAAGTTTGTATATTGATTACTAAGTTTCACATAAATATTTCTAATGCCTACACAGTAAAATCTTACAGGTTTCTTACAATTAAGTGCCTAAGATCAAATTGCCATTGGAAAATTGTACAAGCAAGTAAACTCTATAATTGCAATCAGTCCTCTTAACACCACACAATATTGTCAAAAATGCAATATGAAATTCCAAAAATAAGGAACCCTTGGATCTGCTCAGTCACTGCCTGTTAAGAAAGGCACAATACTTCAATAGAGGGCACGGCCAAAGAGAATGTTTTAATCATAAAAATAGTCAGAAGAGGGATTTAACACGTACCTTTCAAGAAACTGGTTATGTTCTTCACTTGCGTATGGAAAGATCAATGTGAAGATATGCCACAGAAGTAACAAAAAGCAAGAAAAATGCAGATACCAGCATCAATGGCTCAGCAAGCATGAATATAGGGTTAAAACCATAGTATACCTACCAAAAAATGAAAACAAAAATTGGTTAGACCATACCAGACTTTAAGGTAATTCATTGTGTAGAAATTTATTTGGAAAATAAGTCCATGATTTCATAACATATTATACAATATGTTATGCCTTCCATTATTGTAGTTGCAAATATTAAAGACAGTGCTAAGTGTTTTACATTACTTTTTCAGATTCAATTATAAGGTTTCAGAAGAAAAAAATTCTATCAGATATGAAAATAAACAATATAACGAGCATGCTAATAAACAAATATAGACTAATGGGTTTAGATGAGGTAATTTAAGAAGTAATTCATTTATTTAGTGAATTTAAAATTCTTCGGAGTAAAATGAGTTGTTTGAATGAAGAAACTAAAAGAAAAATTGAAATTTATAAATTTTTAGAAGGAATTTCAAATAACTAAAACAATAGAATTTGAAATGCACGCAATAGAAAGAAAAATGAAATTCCACCACTAGTCATTTTCTCTTTATACAGAAATACATATATATTGAAAAATATTAAATTGTTAAATATTATTTAAATATTAAAATTTGACTAATATTATTTTATAAAGTTTAATCTTAAAATTTTATATTTTAAAATAAATATTTTTAAAATGGAATTTTATCTTAAAAGAGAAATTTAATTACTTTATCCAAACAAGAAAAATGTAAATGTAGGATAATTGCTCTATCCAAACAAAATATTCAAAAAAATATGAAGAAAATTCAATTACAAACAATTAAAATATCATTCATTTCAATTTCTTAGAATTGAACAAATGTCTTATCCAAACACAAGGTAAAGACAAGCCAACAAGGGCACGAGGACAAGAATCAGAGTAAATTAAGTAGTGATAGAGAAAGGACCCTAATGCTTTTACATGTTTTGTCGTCTGAGAATAGAAGGCAAAGAGAATTTTGTTTAAAATTATTTGAGAATACCAGAAAAACATTTTGTTCCTGGATTTTGCCACTAAGAAAAAATTACGGGCAAACAAAAGGGGGTCTAAGAAGAGTTTTTCCATACATCGTTTGTAAGCTTTAAGCCAAAAATTAAGAACCGAAGGCATAACATTACCAAACAGGGTAAATAAACAGATTCAAGCCAAACATAATTTTCATCTGCAGTAAGACCTCCATCCATTTGCATAAACACGACATTGTTTAAAATGCCTCATTTATTAACTGGAATTGACAGGTAATATATGCTCTAGACTAATTTTTTTCCCATTAACATGGTGTCAACAAATTTTGTTGCATCAACATCATCACATTTAAATAAAAGTAGCATTAGTCCCTGATTTGGGCCGCAATAAGCAAAATTATTATCTTAGAATTCATGAAATGCTCTCTTACCAAACCAGCTTTATAATTTTCTATTTGTTTTTTCGCATTAGATTTGGTAAATACCTGGAAACGAGTATTATGCTCAGGAACTACATTTCTTTTTTCTAGAACCACCACTGTCCTGCCGACAACATCAAGATATGAATACTTGATCTGCAAAGTTCAAATTAAAACCATTTTAGCTGCAGGGAGTCAAATGCTTTATGCTACAAATACAGCAAGTGAAATTCTTCAATAGGAGAATCAAACTATACCTAGAGAATAAAAATGAATTATCTTGGAGAAATTGAAGTTAAATTGTATATCTAGACAATATACTATTTTAGTCAAAGATTACGAAATGAAAAATTTCTTTAACATATTGATACACCCACCCCCTTTTTCCTTTTCGCAATAAGTTGTGTACTTCTAGTTATAGGATGGAGGTGCGTGACGGGAAAGAGGAGAAGCGACTCTGAATAATTTATATTATACGTTATGTACGTTATAGTACAAATCACTGCACCACTAATCAAGTTGAGTACTGGTGCATTACAACGAGTACACGTTCTACTCAACAAGACTTATAAAATAGTAGGACCTCAGAGCCAGGTCCCACTTTTGAGGAGATTTTCTCAATATATAAATATGTAATGCACAAGTTCAAGAAGGTCAAATCATCATGTATGATGGTAATTCGACCAGACAGTAAAGAAGTATATGTAATATATTCATACATTATATCCTCAATTCATCATGGTACTGATTGAAATGCCCTATTTGGTAGAGGGATTTTTTCCTGCCCTCTTTCAATTCTGTGAGCTAAATTGATCACTTTGAAAGCTTAATATAGACATTGATCCCTGATTATAAGATAGAGAAATGCAACTGATGCAATTAAAAGTCACAAGTGCACATGTTCCATCTAAGATTTAATACAGATGAAGCTTTGACTGCAGTCGAAAGTTGAAACTAAACCAATGTTGAACGAAAATCATTATCTTAAGAGAACATTACCTCTAGATGCTGCTTTACTTCAAAAGGAATCTCAGCTGTGGGATCTTTGGATCCCTCCGGCAGCACAACCTGAATTTTAATGGTTCAACAAGAAGGGTAAATTAAACCTCCACGTTTGCATACAAAAGCAGTTGAAGCAAGGAGAACAATTTTCAGCTACATAATAAACCCACTTTTATAATCAATTTATCAACCACTGTCTCGACAAGAGGGCAACCAAAAGTAAAATTGAGGTATCTTCTGCCATCTGGAGATTCAAAAAGGAAGTCTTGCAACGGTAGTCCATAGCCAATGACAAAGGTTGCTTTCCAGCCTCCAAATAGAGGATAACGAGGTTCAATTTCAAGTTCTGACTGCAAACAATAAACGTGTAAATAAGTATGAATCAGAAAACATGACATTTTACAAGAACGATTATGTTCAAAAACAAAAATGATCTAGTTGTCATTCAAGACTAAATCCCTCAGTGATCTATATATATCAACAATAACACTTACATCGTCTACTCTTCATTAATATAGAAGAATTCCCAAGAAGAAATCATCCCTTCCATTCATAATTTCATACTTCAGTTTCTATCAATTCATTATGAAGTTAATGTTAACCAGTAGTCCAGTAAAGCATACATATAGACCAAATACAGAAGATGATGGTGCTCTTTATGTTGACATGGATGACATTACTTTCAAGCAGAAAAAGCATCATGTCCCACTTATGATGAACACAGCCATGTGGTCACCTATTTGAGTTGACACAGCACTATACTTGTTTTCTAGTGTTCTTCACCCCAAGTTTTGCAAAAGAAAGAGGGAGAAAAAGAAAAGAAATGGTGCATGATGATGTCAAGAAGGATGGGAGAAAAATAATCCTTTTTAAAGTCCCAAAAACATATATTACCTTCCGAGAATCTGTACGAAGATGTGAAGAGGAAATATTTCCTATTCCATCCCTGTAGTATACTGAGTGGACCCTAGGGGGTAGTTTTGCTAAAAGATGTTTAAATGATGAAACACCAGTACCACCAGGTCTAGTTTGATATTCAACCCTGCCAACAGAAAAACTCCAGTTATGCACACAGAAAAAAATTATATATGAAGGGGAAAATAAAATGTCAGAATAAATTTAGAAGAATATAAAAATAACATATAAACCAAGAGATATTATAGTTAATGTTTCATTTACTTTCATCCAGCTGAACAATTGGTAAAATACATGTTAAAACTGAGGCCATTTCAACTCTCGGAAGTTCAAATACTGGAGTAAAACTACAGTTTGAGTCCGTGCCAATCTATACAAATATAGAATAAATAACACAGGGTGCTCACGAAGAAAGTGCCAATCTATCTGTTCTTGCCTGGATGTGATAAAAATCTTAAAATGGTCCTTTTTCAGCAGTTAACTAATTTTTAAAAAACAATTCATAGATGCTGTCATCAAATGTTGCCCTAAAACATGTAGTAAAGAGACAATACTTGAAGTTAGTACCACTTGCAAGGATTAATATGAAGGAAAGAAGATTTTTATTCAATTGATTAATTTGAAATAGTACATCAGCCTTTATATATATATAATTGTGAGAAACTAGACAATGTTTCTAGAGGTGAGATGAGAACACTTTGACAAATTACAACACACATAAGAATAATAAGCATAAAACAAATCAATAAAAACATTAGAAAGAGATCATTCCAAAATCTTAAACTAATAACTATTTCCTTCTGTTATCTTGACATGTATGTAATTTTTTTATTTCTTCTAAATTTTAACGGATATATATGTCTCCCAAAGAACTGAATGCAGATCTGTAGCATCAAGTAAAACGGAGATAACAAATATACCTTGAAAAAACACCTTTATGTTGAGCACCGGCATGGACCAAGCTATATCGCTCAGTGACTTGAATGCTTCCCCAATGAGATATTTCTATTTCACGTTCTAGCTCCTCAACAACAGCAAATGGATTGTTATTTTCAAAATGAACAAGTACGGGAGAATATGAATACGGGGGATGATTTTCATATGGCCCATATTTCAACTCTGTACCAGCACGTTTAGTGGGGTCCACCACCGTGAATGATTCTACCCGAGTGCTTGGTGTCTTGAGAAAAGTTGTCTGTTGTTTGACATGATAGGGAGACAATAATATTGCACTATCACGGAAATAAACCAACTGTGGCTCTGATTGACTTATTTCCACTGGAAAAGGTTCCAAAGAACGTGTCAATATGTAAAGAACCTCTAGTGTCGTGGTTTCCCCTTTACTAAGTGGAGTTAACAAAGTTATAGAGAAAAACTTAGTTCCATTTGGTCCATCAGGCTGCTCAGCAGATTTGACATCAAGAGGAACGTAAGTTTTCTTCTTCCTTTTCCCAGAAGTTGCAGCGGCTTTGAGTAATGCTAGACGTTCAACTTCAGCGGGCGAAAAGGCCAGAAGTACTTCAGAAGCAGCAGATGTTCCCAAATTTTCCACCTGAAAGAAAAACTCTCATAAATATAAAATCAACAAATTTTGTATTTGATAGCACAATCCATCGAAAAGAAATAAAAACAAATAATTTCAAGTTAAAATTTGGTCCAACAAATAACGATTTGTTGGTCTAAGAATCCAAAACATGTTATAGACTTTGATAGACTCAATCATTCTTAGACCCGACAACCCCAACCCGCCCCCGCCCTACCCACACCCCCCATTTTTGTTTTTTCATGCATTTGCTAAAATGTTTAGTTGATGGCCATCATTAAAAGAATAAATGTCCACAAGGTCCTTCCCCTTTCATGTTGTGCATACCAAACATGTCCTAAGTGTTTGCAAAAGATAACTCTAATCAAATTTGGCAAAAGTGAAACTCAGAAAACACTACGCATGGTTGAGATATGCTAATGTCATCACATTGTTTTGTATAGACGTAAGTTTGATTCAAGCCACTTTTCATAAAATTATAACAAATAAAATTCATCTAGCCAACTTAAACATGACTTTTACATGCCAGTACTTAATCAAATATTATACTTAAAGCCAAGTCCCTATTCCCAGCTGAAGATGGAACATAGTTTACAGATATGCAAAACTTAAACCCAGACAAACACCAGAGTTAGAAACTTTTCTATAAGCATTTCCAGAAGAAGAAACGAAGAAAAAAAAATCCATAAGTTAAAACTTGTGTGCAAACTAATTTATAAAAAATCTCGCTTCTAAAAAATCTGACTTTTCACTTGTACATAAACTAACTTTAGCCAATGAAAAAACTTATTTCATCTTTTCTTCTAATCTTCTTATCCTACAAATGCTCGAGGGAAAAATTATCCAAACACAATCCTACTATCAAAAGAGTAATAGTATGGAGAGGTTACCTTCAATGTCAAGTACACCTTAATAATGTGGGAGGTCAAGTCAATCTGCAAGGGTCGTTGGCATATTAGTCATGCAATATATAGAAATGAGCATTTGGACGGCGCCAAATATAGTGGAACACATCCAACATTACCTCAAAAAAAGAACACAGAAATATAACAATTGTTTTGAAGAAAAAAATAAAAGTCATCTATTTAATTTATCAAAAATAGTATTCCATGAACAGGACAAACTAGTCCACTTATACGCACCCCAAATCATACACTACAACTCTTTTTAACAAACGAGCAAGAATAATGTAATCTCAATTTTCCAGAACTCTAAAAAGCACAAGAGTAAGCAACAAAACACAGATGGCACGCATAGTTCACACAAGAATTACCATTCAGATGAATCTACGATACTCATTGTTATACCCATAGAGCAAGTTCAAATTTTCTAGGCACTAATCAGCAGAGGAGAACAATTTTCCCATTTTGACACGGATCTTGATCGAAAGCCGACGTGCGTGTTATCGAGAAAAGAAAAAACTTACCCTGCGTTCGGCATCGACGATCTGAATGTGTTGTGAAGGAGAGGAGTTGACAATTGACAGAAGGGAGAGAAAGAAGAGAAGGATTAACAGAGGTTGAGGGACCATTGCCATTGGTGTAGACAGATGCAGAGGAAGACTCTGAAGTCTACACTGCAATTTTGGGTTTATTAGATTGGGGTGTAGTAACTCCCAATTCAACCGTAGAGGATGCTCTGGTATCACTTTGGGTCAAATAAAAACAATTGGGTTTTTTTAAATGTACTGCTTCTTCCTGCACCCCCATAAAACTTATAAATCCCAAATTACTCTCATTAAAATTATAATAAAAATATAAAAGTGATATCTAGTGATAGGAATAACAACAGGGAGAGTGAGACAGATTTAATTATTTCATACTCATTTTCCAAAAAAAAAAACTCATTTTCATTTTCATATCCAATCGATATAATATATTTATCTAATCTTAATAGGTAATGAGTATACACATATTGACAACGAGTTAGGTCGAGTATGGATAATGTTTACCTATTATCCAACCCATAATAAAAAAAATTTTACTAGTTACTTCTCTTGTTATCCATTATATATTAATTTCAAATATACAACGTGCAAATATTCGTGGATATTTACAAATATTTAAAAACAAAATATTTTATAAACTTTTAAAATAAAATTATAAAAAATATTAATATGAAGGAAAAAAATAATATTAGTAAAATATCATGTAAAAACTACAACACATAACTTACAAAGCAAATGAAAGAAAATAATTAAAAATATATTAAAAATGAACTAATTTAATTTTTGGAACCAACTCCATCCCAACTATGTCACAACCCAATTTATATGAGTCTTTGGAATATGGAAATTTTAAAATATTTCTTATTAAACTGACAAAAAAATAAAATTTAATTTTAGATGAATCAGAATCAACCCACGAATTAAGGGCTTGAATTAAGGGTTTAAATAGTTGTTTTTCTCCTAATACTTTTTATTTTCCTTTCTCTCCATCTTTACACTTAATCTTTCATTTCACCTATGTTTCTTCTTCTCCTTCCTCTCTCTCATACTTTTGATCGATGAGAAATGGTTTAAAATTAGACACGAAAAAAAATAAAGGATAACATATTTATGAGTTTAGTAAGAAAAAAAATAAATGTAATGATAACAGGCTTGTAAATATTAATTAAAGTTGACTAAGTCCAATCAAACAACTAATATATTTATCTTATTGTTACTAATTAATCTCAATAAATTTAACTTCAAGAAGTAAGGAAATGATGGATTATAGGTAGTTTAAGTTTATAAGATAATTTTAGTTTAATAGACCATCACTTTCTCACTTTAAACTAATCTCATATTTTTATACATGTGAAAAATAAAAGTGTTGATCTATCTTAGGATCTTCTTTTAGGCATGAACTTAGGTTAAAACAATTATTTTAAACTTAATATTTTTACATAATAAAAAAAAGTTGGTTTAATGCCTTTTTTGAAAATGAAAATTGAGGGGTAACACGCGTTTCCTTTTCTAATGATAAAGTATTTACTTACCATCATTGATCACTTTTATTTAAAAGGTTTAATAGCCAATTTAGTCCTCACTTTGGTTGAAAAATCTCAATTTAGTCCCTCGTTATAAAAGTGTTTTGAATTAGTCCTAACTTTTAAAATAGTGGGTCAGATTGGTCCTTTATGTTAAATATAAGTTAACAAAATTAATGGATGATGATGTGACACAACTTAAAGCTAACGAGGGACCAATCTAACACATCAGCTTTAAGCTGTGTCACATCATCATCCATTAATTTCGTTAACTTATATTTAACGAAAGGGACCAATCTGACCCACTATTTTAAAAGTTAGGACTAATGTAAAACACTTTTATAACGAGGGACTAAATTGAGATTTTTCAACCAAAGTAGGGACTAAATTGGCTATTAAACCTATTTAAAAGTATGCCAATTTTGAATCACATAAAACCATTTCTTTTCCAAATAATAAGTTAAATTCGATGAACATTTGTTAAAAATATTATTCTACAATAAAAATAACATGATTAAGTAACATAACCATGACTAAACTAATTTAATAGATAACCAAACAATGTTTATATTGAAATTGATTAATTTTCTCTACCGGATCTGATAAATCTTTGTACATTTTTAAAAAATTGTATTAAAATTGTATCAGATAATTAAAAAAAAAAACTTGATTCAATGCCATAATAAAATAATATACTTCTTAAACCTTTTTTTATTTTATTTTCAGGAATTATATTGTAAGACCCATGAAAAAAAAAAAAAAGAAAATATTTATAGTAGTAAATTTTAGTATTTTATTAGTAATAATAATTTTAATGGATAGAAAAATGTAAATTTTGGATATAAAATTATAGTAATTTTAGAAGGAGAGGTTCAAATTTTTGGTAACTTATTTAGTAAATTTTTTTTAAATTGAATAGTAAAAAGTAAATAGTAAATAGTAAAAAGTAAATAGTAAATAGTAAAAAGTAAATAGTAAAAATAAATTTTCAGCATTAAGATTCCTTAGCATGGAAGAAAGTAGTAGGTAAAAATTAGGATCAGATTTGGTGAGAAAATGATTGAAATATTATTTTTAAATAATATTAAAATAATAAATAATATTAAAATATTAATGAATAGTAAATTTTTTACCTATAAATAGCCATAGGAGGGAAGGTTATTTTGCACCAAGAAAAGAGGAATCAAGTGAGAGCTTGAGAAATAGAGAAGAAAGAGTTAGGGAGAAATTTTTAGTTGCAAGAAGAGTAGAGGTTCTGAAGGGTTTCAGGGAAACAAATTCGGAGCAGGAGATTAAGTCTGGAATAGAAGTAAGGGGAGCTAATCTTTTTCTTGTATATGATTTTTTATCCATGTTATGATAATGAATATGAGTTATGAGTATGTTAAAATTTTGGTAATGGTAGTTATCTATTCATTTACATAAATTTAGTTTTCATGATTATAATTTTCTTATTTTCGAGTTAGTATGGTAAAACTTTTCTTTTAATTATTTTGACCGTTGGATTTAGCTAAAATTTTAATATATGAATCCTAAAACCTATTTCTTCACTTTGACCGTTGGGATTTGTAATTAGAAGTCTGTACTTAGAGAAATAAATCCTGCATGTTTGAGTAAATTAATTACCCCTGTAGATCTATTACTGAGTCATCTCGGTAAAATATATATTACGACTTATTTGACCGTTAGATCAACTTGAAAATTTTATATATGATTCCTAAGATATATTAATACACTTTGACCGATCGGATTATAAATTAAAAGTCTATGTTTGGAGAAAATAATTTTTAAGTTTTGAAAAATCTGATGAACACTATATTTCTGTTCTTAAGTTATTATGGTAAAAATTTCATATATATTTTATTTACCGTTAGATTGAGCCCAAAATTTAGTATGTAATTCATAAGACATATTAAGTCATTTTGACCGTTCAGATTTGTAATTAAATGTCTGTGCTTAGGGAAATTAGTTTCGCATTTTGAGTATAATTGAAAACCACTTAAAATTCTGCACTTGAGTTACCTCGGTAAAACCTCAATATCTATCTAGTTAACCGTTGGATCAACCTGAAATTTTAATATGTAGTTTATAACAAATAGTGAATTATTGTGACCATTCAGATTTGAAATCGGAGTTACAGATTTAGAGATATTAATTTCGTATCTTCTCAGGGATCTTAATATTGCTTAATTTCTATTTTTTGATATCTATATTAAATTTCGGTGTTAATATTATATGCTGTTGTTTTAAATCTGTAAATAAGAAATTTGTTAAAAACTAGTTGAGGAACGCTTTGGCTAAGGAAAGATTTGGTACTTAAGTTGTCCATTGTGACGCACCTCTCTTTCCTGGAAGTCTACTCGACAAGTTTTTAACTTAAATCCTATTGAACAGATTATGTACTGTTAATTTATTTTGTGATATATTCAGTTTGTATGATTTCTAAAATGATTGAATTTTATTGCATTTGAATTATGCATCTGAACATGGTTGTGAACTATAATGATGTATGTGAGTATGAATTGGACATCTCAGGGAGAGATGACTATGTAATGTTGTGGTTGTTGAGTATAACTGTAGTGAACCTAGGATCGGTCTGTCTATCCCTACACTCAAAGCATTGTTCATGCTCACATAGAGAAGAACAGTGTCAGTGGTGAGAGTAGAGGGAGGTCCTCGTCTATAGCCTTTGATGGCAGAGATAGGCAGGTTGGGGATTTACCTTGCTAGTGTTGGAGAAAGACCAACAGACTATGCGAGTGCAAAGACGACTGTTGGTTCGACAGTTATACAAATCCGGATGAGTCATATGTGTGGATTTACCTTGCATAGTGTTGGAAAGTGCCAGCAGAACTATGCGAGTGTAAAGATGTGTGAGTCGTGGTTCAATGAGCATGCTATAATTGTTCTTTTATATAAATCTATGTATGACACCATGAGTTAACTGTGATATTGATATAACATGTTTTTTTTATATATCTAGCTCACCCTTGCACTTGTTTGTGTTGTGTGCTGTTTGGGTATGTTTCTCTGGCGATGATCATCCACTTGGATGGGAGCAGACGTTGTTGAGGAAATCCCTTTGGAGTAAGAGCTGGAGGATACTAAGGTTGCAGAGTAGTCTTCTTAGGAGTTTCCCATCTGAACACATGTAGTGTTCGAATCTATAAACTGTTGAAGTTTAAATTTCAGTTCCTTTTATTTCTTGATGACTGTAATTTCACATTTAATTACACGTCATGATCCGACTGTTCTCTTTATTGGAATGTTGACGTCTTTATTATGTAATAATTGTTATTATATAATAGGGATGTTACAGATATTATGTCTAATTCACCAATAACAAAACAATACATACACATATTATTAGAAAGAAAATACAAAATTTAAATGAATTAATATATTATTATAATAGTAATTTCTATATATATATATATATATATATATATATATATATATATATGTTCTGACCTATTTCATATTTTTACCTTTTGTATTCACTTCATTTATTATATCATTTTTGCAAAACACTTATTCTCTGGCTGAATTGAAGAGATCTTTAGAATTTGATATAGGACATCTTACTACGAGTGCAGGAAGAGTTATAAAATAGAAAAAGCTTTCACCAAAATTTATGGAACCTT